CTGTTTGTTTCAGCCTCTTAATGGTTCAGATGTCTGAATGGTTAAGAGATTTGCCTCTGAATGGTTAAGTATTATACAGAGTCTGAATGGTTAAGACCTCTTATCTGAATTGATCAGACATTTGCCTCTGAATAGTTAAGCAATATACTAGCTCTTAATGGTTCAGACCTCTTACTGGTTCAGCACTTAATGGTTCAGACCTCTTACTGGTTCAGCACTTACCTATTCAGAAGTTGCCAAACAGCCCCTTAGGGACAGCTTTAGAAGGAACCCTATTGAGTATATGAACGGCTGTTTTTAAGGCCTCGGTCCAGAGAAATAGAGGTAAACCTGAGTTGGCTAACATACTGCGTACCATGTCCATTAGGGTCTTATTTCTTCTCTCAGCAACACCATTCTGCTGAGGAGTACCAGGCATAGTGTATTGGTTCACGATCCCCTCGCCCTTACAAAACTCATAAAATGGACCAGGAGCTTGACCCACATCAGTATGTCTACCATAATATTCACCTCCTCTATCTGATCTTACAACTTTTATCTGACGATCAAGTTGTTTTTAAACTTTAGTTTTATAATCTTTAAAAGTTGTAAGTGATTCAGATTTTTCCTTAATAAGATACAAGTACATATAACGAGAATAATCATCAATATAAGTGATAAATGAGTTATGTCCAGTTATGCCAGTGATAGAGTAAGGACCACTAATGTCAGTGTGAATGAGCTCTAATAAATTAGAACTCCTAGTGGCACCTTTCTTATTCACTGATGTCATTTTACCTTTAAGGCATTTGACACATGTTCCAAAATCATTGAAATCGAGAGATGGTAACACTTCATTCTTCACGAGTCTAGATAAACGTTCTCGTGAAATGTGGCCTAAGCGTTGATGCCACAACATGGATGAAGTTTCTNTTCTAATTTATAGAGACCACCATCCAGAAAACCATGACCAAACACTTGAGAATTGAAACTAATAGTAAGTCTGCCATGACCATGAGAAACATCAAAACCGTCTATGTCTAACTTTGGTCCTGATACTAAATTCCGAGTAATCTCAGGAATATATAAGGTATCATAAAGTTTAATACATAAACCAGTTTTCATTATTAATTCTAAGGTTCCCACGGCTTCGACAGCTAGTTCTGTTCCATTCCCCAGCTTAAGTGTTCTTCGGTTTCTTTCCAGCTTCTGGATTGTAAGGAATCCCTCAAGTGAGTTGGTTACATGAACCATTGAACCAGAGTCAAACCACCATGTATTAGTTGGAACATTTAAATTAAAGGACTCAAGTATCATGTAAAGATGATTACCTTTCTTCGTCAGCCACTCCTTAAAGTCTTGACAGTCTTTCTGTCTATGTCCTTCCTTGCGGCAGAACTTGCAGTAAGACTTCCCTTTGGAGTTCTTAGAGCTGGAAGAAGCACTTGCATCACGTTTCTGGACTTTAGAAACTTCCTTCTTATCGACATTTCCCTTCCTCTTCTTTGGATTAGCGGTCATGAGGTAAGCCACATCAGGTTTGTCCAGCTTCAGACGCTCTTCTTCTTGTACACACATAGCAATCAACTCATTCATCGACCACTTGACCTTCTGGGTGTTGTAGTTGACTTTGAAAGCTTCAAAAGATGCAGGAAGAGACGTCATTATGAAGTGCACCAGAAAACCTTCACTGATCTCCATGTCTAATCCCTTGAGCTTACGGGCCATGTCGTTCATCATCATGATGTGCTCACGAATGCCGCTATTCCCGTCATATTTTGTAGTCACCATCTTCAAAATAAGAGTACTAGCATGTGCCTTAAAAGTTGCTTTGAATTGTTCTTCCACAGAAGCCAGATATGTTTTAGCATTAGATGAATCTAGAATAGCTCCCCTGATGATTATGCTGATGGAATTTTTAATGAGCATAAGAGTCATTCTGTTGCACCTCTCCCATCTCTCATGTACTATTTTATCTTCAGCAGTACTTTTATCAGTGAGGGTAGGAGGGGCAGGCTCTCTGAGTGCATAATCAAAATCCAACATGCCAAGAGTTAGCATCAGTGAATCTTTCCATGAAGAAAAATTCGCACCGTTCAAGGTTTCAATTCCCATATTTGGGGCTGATAGTGGATTCAGATGAGAGAAATAAGACACATAACTAAAGAAGAACTTAAGGGGTAATGAACTAAGGCTGGCGAAGATAAGGACCATTATATAGTAATGAAGCTGTGATAAGAGTCTATTATAACACCAAAATAATAGACTAAATTTAATTCTACTTAAACAAATGGCTTTCACTTTGGTTATGACCACTTATTTAAGTATTATGAATAAAAAAATAATGATGTGCAATTTGAATGTAACACATCACCTTTGGGCAGAAGTGAAACATTTAAATTTTAATGCACATATATATTTAGTTCGCAGTACACAATTATAACACATCATCTTTGGACAGAAGTGAAATATTATGTATTTAAGGCGAGTGTCATGCAAATATCTATTTAAGGATATGCACTAAATGCCAATGCTTAATAAGACTTGAAATAAATTTTACAAATGTTACACATCACCTTTGGGCAGAAGTGTATTCTAAGGTATTATTCAAGTCAAGCAAAATAAATCAATTTAACTAATCATAAAATAAATTTTATTTAAATTAGTCAAATGATTTATAAATTCAATGTTATTAATTAATTAACCGCAAAAGTTGAAGCGGTTCGGGGCGGGGTTACGAAAAAAAATTGGGGACCCATTAAGATTAGTTTAATTCGAAAATCATAATACATATAAGGTAGGAGATTTTCAAACATGTAAAATTTTATTTTTTTTAATGGTATTTTAGCATATCCCTTAATTAGTTTTGCTATTCTGAGTAAAATAAATTAATAAATAAGGAAACAGAATATATTATGCAAAAGTGAGATATGCCATATAATTTAAGGAAACACAATTATATTCCAAATCAAATACCAAAATAAGATGATTTCATCAAAATAAGGTTGGAAATCAAATCTGTTTTTTTCGGTGAGATTAAAACCATTCAAATTGAGTTTGTTTTAATCGAAAAGAGGAAGAAAAATTAGCATTGATTTGTTTTCAATGCAAATCACAAAAAATTTGTTTTAACTTTGATCGAAGTAAAGCAATTGTGATTCCGTTTTGTACTGAGAAAGTAAATCCACAAGTGGATTATTATGGAGACATCATTATAGATCCAATTCGGAAAAAACAATTCAAAAGGAATTTGCACACTGAATGATTTCCGATTACAATTCAGGGAATATAAAAAGAATTGATTTAGCAACATAATGCTCTGATACCACATGTTGATCAATTCTTAAATATAAAATATAAATTAGGGATTTAATCATGTGTACCTGATAATCCTGTAAACGCAGTTAGGGATGAGGCCATGATTCTCACACAGATCGAGTTCCCTTTTAGGGTGTATTGTTATGATGGCTAAGGTGAGGGCGAGACTCACGAGAATAGAGAGGCAGAGAAGAGACGTAAGATTGGTGTATTGATCTCTGCCTAATACCTCTATTTATATACACCCAAGGGGAAACCCTAATTAGGTCATAAGGGTAATTACGTCCATCAAATAATTACCAAATAAATACATAGGGTATTTATTAGGTCAATGATCAATTAATTAGATAAATGATAACTCAGGCCACATAATAAAAACATGTCCAACACCCTAGCCTACTGCATTTAGCACAAATGGTTGGTTTCCATTCATACACAACTTCCTGTGAAATAACTCTCCCTTCCAAGTCCACAAAATGAACCATCTCAGGGAACTCTTGCTGGATCTGTACCTCAACCTGAATTCTTGCAAACTCCCATTTTGTTCTTGTTGCAGTTGCCTTATCTCTTTTGATAGGTTTCCCTATAATACTTCCCAGTTTACTAAGTCCAGATAGGCTCCAATATTTCATTCCTAGATTCGGGAACTGTATCCATATAGGCACATTCTTCAGTTCATTCACTTCCACTTTGCACCCTGGGCTCCATTTCCTCACATACATTGGTTTGTTATCAAAGAGGTAGTAGCTCTTCTTTGCAATTTCATCTCTGTCTTCTATTTTTTGAATCTCACTATATACTGACCCTCCTTATGGAATGAGACATCTTCTATTCTGTACTCCTTCCATATCCTTGAAACAAACCCCTTAATCACTTCTAGTGGCGGGTTTGCCCCTAAAACACAACATATTATAGCCTGATCCCAAATTACAGTGTCTTCTAATACATCATCAGAGGTAAATTTTGCTATTTTTTGTCCGTTAACCATATCAGCATCAATGAATGACAAGTCGCAAATCACCTTAGATGTACCTTCAACAATTTCAGAATAACTAACCCGTTTATTCTCTTCTTCCTTTCCCCCATTTTGCTGCCCAGTAACCTCAGATTGTATCTCCTGTTCTGTGTTAGGGATCTTCAAACCTGATGCTACCTGCATCTCCATCACTGGAGTTTTAGGGCTTGGATATTTCCCCGTTTCAATCCTCTTCTCCTGGTTTGGTGAATCATAGCTCGTTGAAGTCTGTAGATTCCGATTATCCTCTGTCGGCATTGATCTAGGTCATCCTCGTTTTCTCTCCATTATAGAGAGAGAAACTTCAGACAATCTGCATTATTGTTTTCAAAACTTAACTCTTGAACTTCTAGGAGACTATTGTTCTGTTCGAGCAATTTTCAAAAGTTCATAAACACACTTGGTCTCTCTCGCCCATGCTTGAGAGTGTCAAAAAGAATATCTCTATATCTTAATTCCATGCTTTCATCAATTCTCCCAAAGATGTTATTCTCTAAGAGAGAAATATCCTGGACAAACTTCCCATGCCGGGAGAGGTAAACTTTGTTGTTGACAGGAACTTGACATTGGTAACAATGATACTGAATGGAGTAGCAAAGAAAGACACATGGAGAGAAGATGCGTTTGAGTTTGTGGTTGGAGTAGGGGCAAAACCACACATTTGGGGGTGGGGGAGGGGGGTTGCTTTGGTTTTCGTAATTGGCCACGGTTGAAAGGGACAGAGGGTGCGATGAGAAAAAGAGAGAGGGGGGG